CGTTGCATTCTCCTTGTCTAAGGGCACACTCATTGTCTATGGTGAGCACATACTGCATTGACTGATTCCGGAGTAGATTCCCAGCAATATATCCAAGATCTGGTACCTTTGGTATCTTTTTTCTTTATCTTGTTCCGTTCCAAAACAGAAACTTTTATTAATACCAAACACAAAAAGAGAGGTCGGGAAAACCTCCACAGACAACCCTGGGAAAAAAAAATAAGGGACCATTACCCAGCTTCGGAGCAGGCATCTAGTAATAAGTCCAGCGACAGAAATGGCCAACTCACGACCGCTGTCCTGAACCTGGATCCCGGGGGGGAGGGGGAAAGGGCGCCATCATGGCCAGAAAAGCCCAACAAGCTCCCTAAGAAGTACTACATTCCCTAAGAAGGAATTCCTAAAGAGGGGAGAAACACAATTATCAACCACCTAAGAGGATCGTACCAAAGCTACAAAACTCCTAAATACCACAAGAACCTAGAGATATTACCGTCAAACTGACCGGCTCCAGGTAATTCAGACTTACTTGCTTCAGTTCCTCGAGGGCTTCGTAGTACTCGGGTCAATACATCCAAGATCTTGTACCTTTGGTTTCTTTTTTCCTTATCTAGTTCTTTTCTTTTCTTTTTTTGGAAAATGGGCGACGGACTTGAGATATGACCAACGAACTTACCGGCTCCAGGTAATTAAGAATTACTTGGTTCTGTTCATCAAAGGATTCAAACTCAGGTCCGCATTTCGACAGTTCATGGGTGTACCAACTAAGCTAAGGCCGTTGGTACCTTTCTGTTGATTTCCCCGCGCAATCTCGGGCCTCCTTTTGCAGTTCTGTTCATCGAAGGATTCGAACTCAGGTCTTCATTTCAACAGTTCATGAGCGTACCAACTGAGCTAGGCATGTTGGTACATTTGGGTGGGGGGGTGATTTCCCAGAGCCGAAATGCAATCTCAGGCCTCCTTTTGTACACCCTACTCCTCCGTCGTGAGGAGGATGGTCTACAAAACTCATAGCAACACCAGGAGAACAACAGGCAGTCTTCCTAACCATCCACTTCACCCTGCTTTCCAAACATTACGCCGATCTAAAATGACTGATCCTCATTGGAAAGACGAGCAATGTTAGCTTGACCTCAAATCATGGTCCATGACACCTTCTCGAAGTGCTGCCTCGGCAGAGCTACACATGACACCTTCTCGAAGTGCTGCCTCGGCACAGCTACACAAGGGATCACATATGACACCTTCTCGAAGTGCTGCCTCGGCACAGCTACACAAGGGATCACATAACTTCTCCTCGGCACAGCTACACATACTGTTACACTCGACCGCAGCCATCATTACTTTTACACTCGGCCGCAGCCATCATTGTGTCTGCCCCAACAACAGCTAAAGGTCGGGTTTCCCGACCAACCGCTTGAGACAAACATAGCACAAGGGGAAAGGAAGCAATCCTGGGCTACACCCCCTTAGCTAGGTTTCTAGTTATGTTTTGTTCATGTTTCTCGTTTTACCTTTTTTCCCCTTACCCCTTCTGAAACCCCACTCAGATACACATACTGTTACACTCTCAGGGTTTCTTCAGCCATGCGTGCAGAGGGCTGCCCCTCCTTTCCTGGCTGTGTGCACCCTCCGTGTCCACACATCCAATCAATCAACCAATCAATCAACCAATCAATCAATCAATCAACCAACCAATCAACCAATATGATACATCCATCCATCCATTGTCCAGTCAAGGACGTTCAATTGATCAATCAATTAATCAATCAGTGTCGCATACCGTAACAGTGCAGACCAGAACAAGAACCGACCTCTCTCACAAAGTACAAGATAGCGCAGCGGAAAGCTAAAATACCAATGATCAACCCAATCAATGTTGCAATGCAGACCAAACATACATCATCATCATTCCATGGTGTGAAGGGGCCTGGCACTCACACGGGAAGAATGCGCCAGTCCCCAACCATACACAGACGAAGAAGAGGGGGGTTAGACGAAGAGGAGGGGAAGATGGGAATGTAGTCAACACCAAGTCTTCGGTACAGGTCCCAAATACACATCTAGATGTGTATAAGAGACAGGAGAGAGAGAGAGAGAGAGAGAGAGAGAGAGAGAGAGAGAGAGAGGGAGGGAGGGAAAGTAGAGTTTCAGCATTATTAATCAATAATACAAAAATGCCAGCGCTCCCACTCCCTCTTCACAAACGGGATTTCCTCCCTCTTCACAACTCGGCACCTCAGCAACGCATGTCCCTCTCTGAAAGTTGCCGGTGAAGTTTCTCTGCAGGTACCAGCTATGGTAGCCCAACCTCCAGCGTAAATACTGATTATGGAGATTGGCATCAGTCTTCTTGAACCTCCTGACGACGCTGACGTGACCAGCAGCACCTTCAGTATACACCAGCGTCCAGGTAAGTCGAGGTAAGCTTCCCATGTACTCAATCCTCCATACTCACACACTCAAACAGTCCTGATCACCCTCTTCCTTGCTCAGTCTATGGCGGCAGAGCGCCATGCCTGGCTATGGTCAGCTCCAGCACTCTTTTCCTGGCCGGCGCTCTCCTCCTCTATGTGGCGCCAGCCTTTCCCCTCACTCTCTTTCTTGCGAGCAGCGATATGGCCACTAGAATGTGAAGGCCGAATGAGCCAGCCAGTGGGCCTGGGTTCTTTTTTCATAGCGTTGACCGGCACTGGCCTGCCTCCATTTGCCTCGTTTAGCGGCCCAGATTTCTCGGATAGACCTTGTCCCAATGGGTACTGGAATCTTCTGGAACATGTGCAGGCAGCGTTTGATTGTGCACCTTATCTATGGCCGTGCTCGACTTCTGAGAAATCTTAGACTCTTGAATTTCCAAGAGTCAGTTGTCTTACGTAGAGGCACAGGTCACCTCCTAGGCCTTTCCCCCGACCATTAAGAAGCTAGAGACGCAACTTTTGACCCCTGAAACTTGACGTTGACCCGAAGTTACGACCCTTGCTTTATGACGGCGCGGATTTGAACTGTGTTCGTTGCAGATTACTCATGCCGGCAGGATATCCGAAACACTGTTTTCTCGTATGTGCACCCTGTTCTTTGCCTGTTTCTTCCCCAATCCATATACAACTTTCCAGATTCGCCAACACAATAGACACAGGAAAAGAACCATTGCTTTCAGACCCTCAACCCGCCTCCTCTGGTCCCTACCTCTGTCCAGATGCGCAAAGACGATAGGAAGGAGGAAAAAGACTCTGGACACCGCATCGTAAAATCCCACCGACTTCTCACTCCCAGTCTATACATCACCTCTGCAGACCGATTAGCAACCAACCACAAACACAAGGTACCACTACCGTCTCTCCTGAGCCAAACGCAGGGTCATTATACCTATGTAGAAAGAAATTGTTCGGTCAGAGACACGTGCACAATGAACCAGTTTCAAATTTGCAGCAGACAGTGGTGCTAGGGATCTCGATTACAACCGGTATGCTCTGTCTGGAGATCTTGGCCGCCTACACGAAGACACCCAGACATTGAAACACAGACAACACTCAGATCGCAGACCAAGCTTATGGCCTATCCCCACGAGCCCATACTTCCCTGGATTGTCCCAATGTGCCCTGATCCAGTCAGAATGGACCTAGGTTCAAAATATGCCCCAGCCATGCAGCGCCGAAAACATAGGCAACGCCCAGATCGCAGACCAAGGTTGTGGCCTATCCCTATGAACCCATAATTCCCTGGATTATCCCCATGTACCTTGATTCCAGTCACAGTGGACCTAGGACCAAAATATGTCCAGGCTTGGAGCGCAGTCTCAAGCTGCTGTTCCTACGGTTGGTCAACAACAGGTTGACAACCAAGAACACCCATGGCATTCAATCCCAGGCTGATCAGACAGGCCTGGCAAACGCATGGTCCGGTCATACCTGAAGTGGGATCACTCCATTTCATGACTGAGGACTTGAGGTAACAGTCCAGAGCCCTTACACAGCACATAAAGAAGCGCGCATCCGAGAATAGGCCCGTAGCACACTGCCTGTTATTGCAGCGTAAGGGACGTCAGTGCTGCTGTATGGTGCTCACTCGCTGGTGAGCTGGAGGCAGAGACAGAGAAGAGGACAACAAACGAAAGGCTGTGAGAAAATGTTTCGTTGAAGTTTCACCGGGAGGCTGAACCGTCTACAGTCTGCAGAGTCCCCTAACCAATGATACTATAAGTGACGATCCAGCTTAACCGCAGTTGAGATTAAGCATGAAAGATTGCCTGACAACTGATACCCTGCAAGAACCGAAGTCTAAATCTGCTTAGGGAGCGCTAAACTTGACGTGAAACCGATCTACATCCAGTAGCCAGGCCCGCTATTCCCTCTCTAAAGGGAAAGAATGGCGAAAGTGAAAGCAGACTATCACTCAGGCACACCAGATGCAAAACTCTACAGATTGCAGTGTACCATACCTGCTGTGTGGTGCTCTGCTTGCAGCACAATTTCAACTCCTGATTTGTTTATCACGAGCTACAGGTATGTACCATTTATGCACAAGGCTGGTACAGGGTCACTCAATTCTTACTGCCTACTCGTTCACTTCTTCTCAGGGTTATCCTACTATGCCACTAACACTAGACCTGGGGTGTCGTAATCAACCACCCTAGAAAGCTCGACGAATTACAAGGCGGCACACATATATCTGGGACTTGAAAAGTTAGGGCACCTCTCCTTGCATTAGACTTCCCCGCAAACGTGTTATTCCCAATCTAAAGAGCCCTACGCCCTGTTCATAAAGCCCAAGTGTGAATGTGCCCAGACTTGACAACATACAGCTATGTGGTATGGTTCTGCAACTACCCCTATTGAATTATTTGGCCCTACCAGACACCAATGGAATCACGGCTATGTTCAACAAGACAAAAATTGATAGGCGCATACGGTTCGAGTACATCGCAAGGTCTCAGTATTTCGGAACCTTGGTCGCAAATACCAGAAAAAATGGCCTTCTATGATTATATTGGAAATAATCCTGCTAAAGGTGGGCTATTTCCTGAAACAACACTGCCACAAAAAGTTCATGCAAAGGAGAGACGATCCACAGACAAAATCCAAAGCTGTGACAAGCCCAGAACAGGGAACACAGAGGAAACGGGAGAAAAGATAAAGACACAGGAGGACTGCAGCAGTGGAGAGGGAACCACCCTTGCCTCACTCCGTGCCAAATCTCCACTACAACTCGCCGAATATCCACTATTCGCCAAATGTTCAGTATTCGACTCGCCGAATGTCCACTATTCTACTCAGGGAACATCCAATACTACTCGCCGAACGCTACTACTCGCTGAATTTCCACTAGTCTACTCGAGGAACATCCACTGCTACTCGCCAGATGTACAAAACACTGTTGACTTTTCAAGTCTATTCGCTTTCCAAAACTGTTTGTGACGAATTTCGCTTTCCAAAACTGCAAAAACATGTCCCGCTACTACTCGCCGAAGCTCCGCCACTACTACTCGTCAAATGTTCTCCGCTACTCAACCAAACGTCCACAAATACTCTCTAAAGGTGAGAAACAAGGAATGCACCTCGCCACTTCTAACAGAAGGATACACTCACCACCTCTCACATTTGGCGAGCGGTGAGCACGGCCCAAAAGCCATTTTTCCACGACGCAGTACTGTCGAACACTTTCCAATGGGTGCGTGAATGTGTGTGTGTGCTGTCATGTTTGCTATACACAACTCCAAAAGAAAAGAAAAGAAAAGAAAAAGCATCACCATGCCAGACCGTTTGTCACGAGGTTGACCCGCGGCAGTACGCCAAAGAAACATTCACAATCAATATGGATAAGGACTCCTCACACTGCCCAGAGCCCTGAGTCACACCAACCCTGCATACGATCCAGGGCGCACCCTCTTTCACACCAGAGCAATCAGGAAAATGAGAGCAAAGGGGGATGAAACAAGACTGACCAACTCCCTTACATTTCATCGACATTTGGGTGGAATATCCGATTTACAAAGCCGATTGACGGCGACTTGTATGGGTACGCCTCCGGCAACTCTACGTGGATCTTCCAAGTCCCACTTTCATAAGGACCTGCACACATTCCATGTAACAAAGCCCACCAGACCATCCAGTTCAAATTCCTGTATGGGTTTTTTACCCAAATTCAAACTACTGTCCAAAATCAGTCAAATTCGAATTTATGTGTGAACATACCTTTTCGCCATCAGCACACTGGAAATCGTGCAAGAGGTCAAGGAAACGGACTACCTTTTCCGACTATACAAGCAGGAGGCAGGGGGGGGAGGGG